CATATATAAACACAAACTTTTATGCTGCGATTAATCTTGTTCTTAATTAATCTATGGTAAATTTATATAATGGTCCAATGTTTTAAGACCTACATTTATTGGACTCCAAAATTTGAACCGTTTCAAATCGTTCCCAGTGAACACAGATAATGCTCAGATAAATCTCTTTAAAGGTACAATATGCAGGATTTTTGCAGTAAAATATCCAAAAACCACAAGGCCAATGTTATATATTTCGTTTAGTTGATTACTTACAATATCCCAAATGTTTCCAACTATTTGTAAATCGTGAGAAAATTGCGATTTTAACCAAGGAAACGGGGCGTGTGAGCAGGGGTGAGGAGTTGCCAGTCAATGACGTCATATCTGCGTTACCCCCGGTTTCCGCCAGGTTTGACCTCGTACTGCAATAGTAACCATGGCGACAGACGTGGACAACCGGGTAATGCCTGTTATGCCTAGCAGGACGCTCACGCTGTTGTTGTTTTGTTCAAATATTATGGACCATGGCAAGCAGACTGTGAGACAAAAAAAGGGACTAAAACGAAGATCAACATCTTTGGAGATGCCGAGAGCTCCACGTCCGCAACTAACTTTGACTTAGAGACGCTAGTGTTGCAGGTTACTTTATTAAACAGGTGAGCAAATGTTGAGCAAACTAATGTTATTTAGTTCAACATGATGAAAAGTTAGAATATGATCTGTATGTTATTCTCTAATGTTAATCCAGCTTAGAGTCATACAGCCAACAAACAACCTAACTAACAACATTCAACACACACAAATGGCGTTTAGTGTGATAGTGAAACTGTTAGAGCAAGTGAAGCAGCGCTGCATTACCTCAAGTTTAATTCCTCTAATAAACTGAGTCTGACCTGTGCGAGTAATTCAGCGTGTAGTTCGGTAGAATGAAATGTCCTTATTCCTTTATATCCGTGGGACTCGCGTTGCGTGTGGCGCTGGTATACGTCTAGCAATCGCGCCCTGCTTCATACCACAGTCATGTTAAAAACATCACTGTATTCACTCATCCATAAAACATCCATCAGCTTGACGACAAGATCCATAATCGATCCATATACATCATCAATATACACCTTTGTTATTGTAAGATTGTACCTTTAACTGCTCAAGATCCTGAAAATACAGCTAAATTAAACTAAGTAAAATTGCTTCTTTTGTAACTTTTTTTGGTGAACTATTTGCCAAATGTAGCACAAGTAGCAGTACGAGCTCTTCTAAGCCAAGATCTCCAGGTGTTCAGTGGAGGACGAGTAACTGCTTTAAATGCATGAGAAATACATTATATTAGCCAAAAAATGATTCTCCAAATCTCACCGTCCCTATACATCTCATTTAACCAGAGGAATCCTGGTGACATCGCTCTGTTCTTTAAGGGTTGTGACACCCGTGTAACTTGCAGCCTGTCAGGGAACGAGCGCATTGTGAACCGATGTGCCAAAATTACAGCCGTCTGGAAACGGATCTCCGCACAAACACTGAACGAAGGGAAATATCTCGGCTCTGACTTCGGGCCGTTCCTTGAGCGTTTCAGGTGAGCTGCTCTCATTCTCTCTCTGTCAGCTTGTCATTTATCATGAATTCTCTATTGGTTTGAATTTCAATGAGGGAGCGAACGGGATAAATACTTTATTTATGTAAATCCACAGTGACAAAAACCTGATGAATTACATAAGCAACACCCGCTTCCCCGCCAGCCTTCTGCTCCATGGCCTCATTCGCTCCATCATGTCTTGCTTTCACCCTGACACACCATAAATTACACTCATTTCACAGCAACTTTATACAAAATCATTGCAAGCATTGTCATGAATTCACTTTATTCATTTCTAGAAGACTTTTTACCATATAAATAACTATGCTGTCCATTTATGTCAGATAAATCAAGTACAAACCACAGTCAATTACTCATCAGAAAATACGAGTACTTATAAATGCATGTGTCAATAGAGATCGAAGGTTTTGGCCTGCAAATTGGTGTAGTTACAACATCCACCAGCAGGAGCAAAATGCCTGTGTATATCAATTTTGGTGATGCAAAATGAACATTTACAGTGACATTTTCTTGTTGCACAAAGAAGAGCAAGTGATTCTTTCGATGCTTCAAAACACTAACTAACCCATGTGATGTCACATGGACTACTTTGATAATGTCTTTATTTCCTTTCTGGACAAGGACAGTATACCGCATATACATTTTCAATGGAGGGACAAAAAGCTCTCAGACTAAATCTAAAATATCGTAAACTGTGTTCTGAAGATGAACGGAGGTATTACGGGGTCATTAAGGACATCATTTTCATTTTTGGGTGAACTAACCCTTTAACTACCCAACAGTACTAAGAGTACATTTGCACAAAGCATTTTGCTGTAAACAGAGACAACGTTTACATGCAGCCAATTTTCGGGTTATGGTCGGGTTAAGGTCACTATTCGGGTTTCTGAAACTTTAGGAATAACCCGTTTACATGCGTGAGCAGAGAGAGTTTCTCCTGTACACATGGAATTGCAATATCCCGATGTAAATGGCGACACGCTGTTAGCGTCTAGACGTACGGACAAACTTAAGACGCAATATGCGTTTTTCCTGTATCCAAAGACAACAACAACATCAGCACGCGGATAATGAATAGCTCAGGGCAGATAGCGACCGACTTTGTTTGCGCTTTGATGCTGATAACGTTAATGAGCTCACTCCAAAAGTATGCTGTGCTGTGCCTCGCCATGTTTTCTTCCGGTATACTGCACGCGGATTTTTGTATGCGCCGAGAAGTTTCTCTACTCAAAAGACCAAGATTCCTTGCGAATAGAACATGCGCAGAACACAAATCACTATGGGGATATGCCGATACGCGTTTACATGACCAAAAATTCGGGTTAGAAAAGGGGTACCCCAGGTATAATATCCCAGTTTTTAAAATCCGGGATATGAGCATATTCGGGTTTTTGCCGGTGTTTTTACATGGCCGTTCGCGACAGAGTTATTGCTAATATCCCGGTTTTGAACGGGTTATTGGCTGCATGTAAATGTACTCAGAGAATCAACTAGTTTCCGCTAGTTCTTTAGCATCGGCTTGGTGTGTCACAGCCTTAAGTCGCAGCACATTTCAGAGGGAAAAAAAAAAAAAACGGAAAATCACAGAAAATATGGTATACTGAATTAAAAGTAGGGCTGGGTATTGAGATAAATTTCACAATTCGATTCGATTTCGATTCACAAGCTTGCAATTCGATTCGATTTCGATTGCGATTCGATTCAATTCAATATCGATTATTTTGGAAATCAGTTACAATAAATGGCAAATTTTCTCAAGGAAATCAAATCTCTTAAATGCTGTAAACTATGGGAGTCTAGTTGTAGCCTATAGGCTTCATTAGCCTAATATGAAGGTAATAATGAACTGTTTTGTAGCTATACAAACACTTAAATTACACTTTTATTTATTTTTATAATAAGAAGATTATATGAAATATAAACATTTAAATGGTGGCTGTCATAAAAACTTGCCAGATTTATTCAAATATGGATTAAATATTGAAGAACATTAAGATTATAATGCATATGTAATATGGTGTATTTATATTTAGCAAAATGCTCCTCTCTAGAGTTATTTTTTTCTAGCTGACTAACGAGTTGATGTGGGTTTTCTGAGGTAAATATGACGATACATGACATTGATTACAAGCTGTTTAACTGACGTCTTTCCACGGTTGAAACGCTGATTGAGCGAATCAATGTGACATGATACGGATACGGAAGTTGTACTCTATCTTTTAACACACTTTCAGATGCTCATTCATGTTTATTTCGCGCTGTAACTGGTATTATTAACCCGGAAGAGAGATCAGCGCTGCTGCTTCTCTTGAGCTGAGCCAGAGCGATCTCGCGCCACAGCGCCAAAACGCTATTTATGTTTTTGACTTTCTAAAGAAAATGGACGTAATTTGAAAATTGAGACTTTGTTTCATATCAATAGTAAGGACAAAGATTATTGTGATTTTTTTGGATGCGCGCAGCTGCGATACAATGTCCCATTAATTCAAATGAAACAGGATGACTAATTGATTCTTGAGATTTAAGAATCGATATCGGTTCGTAAAAATGAGAATCGATTAATATCGAGAAAACGATATTTATTACCCAGCCCTAATTAAAAGTGAGGATTAAATTGGGTTAGAAAATATTTTGACATTCCAAAAATGACAAACTTCAGTTTTAAACGCAAGTCTGTTCTCCCAGGTCGTTTCTTCCTTCTGAACTCTAAAGAAAACATCCTGAAGTCAGAAAACACACAGCACTTTCTCTGCGAGTGTGTGGTCTTACTGCTCAATTAAACATGGGCACGAAAGTCTCGTGTTACGGGCCAGACGCTCACTGCAGGAGCACAAGCAGCATTCAAAAGTCATTTTAAAAGATCAAATCATTGGTTCTGGTCTGATTATCTGAGCTCAACTGAAGAGACTTCACGCAGACTTACAGATGAGGACGAGGAAGCCGGTAAAATGGGTCACAGTCTGAACTCACAAGACTTCTGCTCTACTTCTGATTGCAGAACGGATCAGAGGGGAAATCAGTGGCCTGGAAGGTCTCTACTACCCAAGACTGAGAAAAATACCCAATCCATGTGTCAGAATCAGAACCATACACACCACGAGAAACAATCGTCTCACTAGACCGATCCACAATGCACAAGAAACAAACACTTTAACTGAAACGAGCTGATCAAGCCACCGATGGCATTTAGAGGCAAGGAGACAATGCGGGGAGAAAAAAAAAGCTTGAAAGATTCAATACTATGACCATCATAAAACCAGCAACAATTTCTAGATGAAATGTACTAGATGAATAAGTAAATAAATAGTAAAAAAAATAAAGTGACAACAGCACAACTAACCATTGACCAGAGCCATTTCCTCACAAAATCCCCTAAAAAATGCTTGAAAAACAATCCAAACAAAGTGACCAGGATCTCACTCACCCTGATGTTGTCCGGATGGAGACCCCCGGGATGCTTGTCCATGTACTGACACAGATCTGTGTGCTGAACAGAGAGAGAGAGAGGGAAGAGAGACATGAGGCAGTGACAGGAGACAGACTCTAAACAAATCTAGTGAACTGCTTCAAAATCGTTTTTAACTAGTTTTGACTATTTTTAACTATACATATATATATATACATAAACATAGAATCAAGCCTCCGAAGGACCGGACTAGGAAGGACACAGCGGCCCTGTCCCAAATGACACCCTAAGCACTCGTGGTCTTCCTCTGAGTCCGCACTTTCGTGCGCTTTGACTGTCAGGGAGAAGTCTACTGCGGAGCTCGCATCTATGGTTTGCATTAGTACGGGCTCGGCATAAATACGCATCGAGAGCACATATCGAACTGAAAAGGGGACGCTCGTGAGCACCTTTCTGAGACCTAAAATGACAGATGGGACACCCTACGCTCTCATGGACTTTAAGGAGTAGTTCACTTTAAAAAAAACTTTTGCTGATAATTTACTCACCCCCATGTCATCCAAGATGTCCACGTCTTTCTTTTTTCAGCCGAAAAGAAATTAAGATTTTTATTGAAAAGATTCCAGGATTTTCTCCATATAATGGACTTCAATGGGAACCAAACGGTTCTCAAGGTCCAAAAGACACTTTCAGTACAAACTGCAAACTGTTCAAAGGGCTTTAAACGATTCCAGACGATGAATAAGGGTCTTATCAAGCGAAACTATCGCTCATTTAAAAAAATATAAGCTCAAATGGTCACCTCGCTCTGTTCTGTGATGCACGTTCGTGACTCTCCTGTTCAAACTCAAAATGAACGAATCTTTTTTCGAGTCATTTGGTTGATTCAACGAACGAAATGAATTGACTCTGAAAAAGATTCGTTCATTTTGCAAAATATGACCAAAACAGAATATAAAGATATAAACGAAGCACCCGAAGAGAATAATTTCAACTTTTCTGCACTTATAAACACTCCAAATATGCAACAAAACGCATTAAGGGCTAAAAAAATGGATTTAGCATGATGTGTCCCCTTTAATACCATTTATATTAGGGCACTGGGCATTGCAAAGATCGTGCTTAATATTTTTTTAAACAAGTATTGAATTTTCTGATATCCCATTTCCTTTCTACAGGCTCAATGACGTGATTGTCTGAAGGTGCGAGAGGCTTTGTGGGCCGTGTGTCTGAGCATGTAAATACAGTCGGCGGGAGAAAGATGCTCTCCTCAGCCTTTATTCTGCCCACAGACCCGCGGCGTTGGAGGGCCGCTGATATTTGCAAACACCCGCTGCTACCCGTCCCGCACCGCGGATAAACGCGTTTCCTTTCATGAATAATGCAGTCTCTCACTCAAGCGTGCTTCAGATATGCCTGTCCGTCGCCGTCAATCATTATTAACTGCTCGCCGTGGAAAATGAATTGATTTCCTCAGTGCGAAACCCTCTGTTTGTTCGCGGCCCGCATCTAAATGCGTTCGCATTCAGCCTCAGTGCATTTTCTCACCGAAATGACTCTGATGAGATCACAGCGGTGGTCTCAGATTAATAACTAAGCTATGGTTCGTATCTCTCAATGGACCAAAGCTATCAATAGCTGAGCCGTTGTCCAATCTTAGTGTTTTGATTGTTTTCTTTGACACCCCGACGTGTTTGCTTGGCTCTCATGAATAAATCAGACTCAAGCCGCAATTTTACGCTCATCCAATTTAGCGAGAGGATACATTCCTGGAAAAAAATGTGTATAAAGTAATAAGTTCTATCAGAGATGCAAAAATAGCACAAAATATAAAGCTAATCAGAGAAGGCACCAATTTTCCCTTTAGACTGACACGGATCAATGACAGGAGGTCAGCATCACAGTGTGCATTGACATTCAGAGAAAACACATCTAACAAGTGCTCTTTTCTTTCCATGACGCATCAAATCAAGTTTAAACCTACAACCGGTTTTCTTGGCGTTTCTCTTTCCTTCCCGGGGAACCAATTAGCTCCTGTCAATTTAAAAGTGCACTTTATTAAAAGCCAAGTGCATCCTTTGAGTGGACAATTATTTTTATGTTAAGGAAGGACAGCATTCGCTGAGAACATGATAGCATTGAGTTATTGAGAAAGTGCATGTTCTCCTGACCCTCAGCTCAGAGTCTGCTTTATACTGTATGGATCAGTATTCATGAGTGAACATTACAGCAGAAGAAAACTGGAAGGAAAGTAGTAAAAAGAAAAAAAAAATCGAATCTAAATCAAATGTGTTAAACATCTAACTGAGGGGTTCCTGTGAGAAATCCTGTCTGGATCTGTGAACGCCGTTAATGTACTTTCACAACGCTTCTCATTTATTTTAACCTTTGTCGAAAACTAATTTTAGCATTGTGCATACGTCTTGAGCTCTTCATGGATTTGAACTATAAAGCATAATTTTGACAAATAAGTAACAGATGGCATCATATACAATAAAAAAAATCTAATAAATAATAAAAATCATTTATATATATATATATATATATATATATATATATATATATATACTGTATATATATATTAGGGCTGTGCAAAAATTAATTGCGATTAATCGCATCCAAAATAAAAGTCTGTGTTTACATAATATATTTGTGTGTGCTGTATATAATTATTTTGTATATATAAATACACACACATGCATATTTAAGAAAATGTGTTATTCATATATAAAATATTTATATTTATATAATATAGATTATGTATTTATATATATATATACAGAATTTAAGCGCAAATAATTCTTAAATATATACATGCATGTGTGGGTATTTATATATACAAAATAATTATATACAGCACACACAAATATATTATGTAAACACAGACTTTTATTTTGGATGTGATTAATCGCAATTAATTTTTGCACAGCCCTAATATATATATATATACACACATACATACACAATTATCAAAAATGTACAAAAAATACAAAATAAAATCCAAGAGACAGAGACATGGATTTGAACTATAAAGCATAATTTTGACAAATAAGCAACAGATGGCATCATATCCAATAAAAAAAATCTAATAAATAATAAAAATCATTTATTTATATATATATACACATACATACACAATTATCAAAAATGTACAACAAACATAAAATAAAATCCAAGAGACTTAAAACCAGCTAGAACCAGCCTTATGCTGCTGATTTTTTCCCAGAAGGGAAGAGAAGTTGGACCTCCTGACCAGACGTTCCCTACAGGATCGTCCCGGAGGCTCATTAACAATTAAACTGGCATTTCTGTACCTGCCTCAGACAAGCGGGACCTTTAATAGAGCGCAGAGGCAAACTGGAACTGTAATGATTTATCACACTAACAACCTTACTATCAGCAAACGTTTTATTTCTCTCCCTATTTCTGCATTTAACTTTCAGATTGAACACAACACCTTCATTTTCATTAAAGGAATAGTTTGTCCAAAAAATATAGTATATAATATAGTGCAACAGTGCCTGCCCCCTTTTTCGGCTGCACTGGCTCCAGAAGATTTTTTCATTCATTTTTCTCATAGGGATTTAAAAATATTCTTCATTAAAGAGCTATAAGCTATGAGGTGATTCATTACACTACAAACCTTGATTTGAAGCAAAAACATTTTTGAAAATCAAACAAAAATACTAAGATACAAGACTGTGAACTTATAGTTTCATTAGTGGGTGATAGTTCACCCACTAATGAAAATTAAGTCATTAATCACTCACCCCCATGCTGTACCAACCCCAAAAGAGCTTCGTTCATTTTCAGAACACAAGTGAATATATTTTTGCTTAAATTTGAGAGGTGGATCACAGCTACATAGGCTACCTAAGGGAATGAAACTTGACGGCCCAGAAAGTCAATTAAGAAAATGTGAAAATGAAAATGTTTAAATATTATACGACAGTGGCTCAAGTATAAGTTTATCAAGCGACGAGAATACTTTTTGTGCGAAAAACAAAACAAAAAACAGGCCTGAGACGAGAGTTCAAGAGATTTCCACGACGAAAAAAGGAAAAGTTGAATAAAGTCGTTATTTTTGTTTGTTTTTTCGCACAAAAAGTATTCTCGTCGCTTGATAAACTTATACTTGAGCCACTGTAGTCACATGGAATATCATCCACATAAACCAAAAATACATTTTCTGGCTTTTCTCAGTCTAGAAAGCTCCAAATTCAAAAATAATTTCACATTTCTTCTACATAAATGACCCATTTTAAATACACATTCATCTTCCCAGAGGTGGAATGACCCTTTAAAGGTTTATAAGTTACCATTCAAAATCAGTTTCCCTATGGAAAAATGAATGGAGTTTAGTTTTATGATTAGTGTGACTATCATAACATTGAATCCGCCATTTTTCTCCGTCATACAAACCAGGCAGGAGAGTTAGTACGTCGGTGGACTTGAACTTGAAAAATGGAGTGTATTGAAGACTTTCCGTGGTTGAAACAACATCTCTTCGGATGTTCATTCATGTTTATTTCATGCTATTATAATTATTAGGAAGTGACTAGCACCACAGTTATTATTTCAAAACTTAAACACTTATTTTTTTCAATCTATAATATAACTTTAGAACACTTAAAATATACGTCATATGTACAACTGTTATGGTGTTTTAAAGGTGATTTCTAGAGATTGACAGTATAAATCACTGTGTAGCTGCATAATATGGAAAACAGACGCTTGGACGTTCAGCCTGAAATCTGTTTTTGTGTTTCAAAGAAGAAAGAAAGACAAAAAAAGAAAGTCACACAGGGACAGAACGACACGAGGGCGAGTAAATAGCTGAATTATTATTCCTACGTGCTTCAATTCGCAGCTCTGACGCCTGCGGCTGCGTCTCATTGCAGGTTTGTGTGTAAAACAGTGAGACGTTCCTGTCGCTGTGAGCAGGGCTTTGAAATAGTTAGAAAAACAGTTTTCTAATAAAAACGGTGCCAGAGCTGCAGGATTGGGCACATATAAAGAGGCCGATCGGTTCAGGCACCAGGTTCAAAGCGTAAGAAAAATCCCGGGGTAAAGTAATGCTGACTGAAGCACATTTAAACCGTTCAAAACCATCCAGAAACAGGAGACCAGACCAGCACCATGAGGCCCAGGAACAGGAGATGTGTGGTTACGTGACATAAAAATACTCTGACGTTTTGGAGTGGAGTTACAGAAAATAAAATGAATTAAAAACTATTTATAAAAGAAACAAACGCCAGAAGAGGTTTGATTTTCATCCGCTCAGCATGTCTGATACTCACCACATACTCAAACACCAGCGTCAGGGTTTCCTTCGTGTGGATGATGTCGTGGAGCAGCACTATGTTCGAATGCTTCAGGCCTTTCAGCAGAGACGCTGGAGAGAAACACACACGCTTCATTAACACAATCTGACCAATGAGTGTTTGAGACTCAGGAAAACTGGATAAGTGCATTTTAAAGGGGACATATCATGCAAAAAATACACTTTTTTAGCCCTTAAATGCATTTTGTTGTATATTTGGAGTGTTTATAAGTACAGAAAAGATGCTCAGGTGCTTCGTTTATATCTTTATATTCTGTTTTGGTCATATTTTTCAACCTGTTCAAAAAATGTAATAGAAAACGTCATATATGAACAATTACGTCACCGTATTTGCAGCGGAACTGCCAAATAAGGACATCGACTACCGGCCCAACACTTCGAGCAATCCGCCATTATTATTTCTCGCTCCGATTTTGTAGTCCGAGCTCAATGATGCAGAAGTTACGAGAGGGCAAGTCAAAATGTTCGGTTTTTGGATGTAATGACCTGAAGCACTTCAAGGATCCCCTCTTCAACAACCTCCGCCAGTATAAAGAAGGGTTTGCCGATTGACTTCGTCTGAATGAGAGGTAAATTCCTTCTATCTTTGGAGACGACGAACAGAGCATTTCGATAAGCTGTAAATATCGTTATTAAAAAATAAAGTACTTTACTTTCTTAAAACACATGGTGGTCATGGTTTAGCAGTACCTTTGTCTTTCTTTTGAAGTAACGTTACACGTCTGCACTATTATTGTTCTTGAGTTTCATCAATGGTCATTTAGCTGCGTTGTTTTCTGATGCTTTTCTAAACGTATCATATTATCAATACAGATTTTTAGTGGTAAGATTAGACCGTAGTCATTTATCTTGTCAGTGTGCTTGTTTTAACAAGAGAAATAGTCGACTTTCACTAATAACACAAAACAGTTAACTCGCATACCAATACATCCATATGATGAAGAGGTTGTTCTGCAGGTTCGTCGTCATCTTTATCGACTCGCTCGCTCTGGCTCGAATATGTAAGGCTTGATGGACAAGTCTTCCGTTGTTGACATTTTATTAAACGTGTGAATAAAAATGTTCTTTGAAGGTATCGTATATAATCGTATATCTCTAATCAAACTACAATAATGGCCGAACGGGGGGAGTTGAACCGAGTGTGAACTCATCGACCTGGAGAGCGGGCGGGGTATGACGCATCTCCTTTTTATTTAAAGGGGCCGCGTTTGAAACGGGTCGCTCAAAGACGCACATCAGAAAAGGGGTAGAAAAGGGGCTTGTGGAGCTATAATAATGAGGAATTCAGACCCAAGCATTGCAGTTATGCTTTATATAGACCACAACGGTATGATTTATATGTAAAAATGAATGATTTAAAAGCATGATATGTACCCTTTAAAATGACATACACTGTAAAAAATGATGTGATCAGTCAAGTCAAGGCACATTTTTTAAGTCAGTTTAATATAATTTAAGTGACTTGTACAACCAAGTTGATTATACTTAAAAAATGTGAGGCAGCAACTGAACTTACGATTTTAAGTTGATTTTTTTTAAATGTAGAAAATGCAAAATGAGATTTCCATTTATCTGTCAGGCACCAATTCCTCAGATTAATATTTTAAAACAGCTTTATGTTTCCCTGATATTTACAGGTTTCCCATGCCTTGATGATAATAATAATAATACTGAATAATTAAAAAAAAAAAAAAAAACATTCTGTATGTGTGGCCTGGTAAACCCATATTACCCACAAAGACGGCAATATCCAAAATCTTTTTTTTTTTCCTCGTGAGGAAAACAGCATTTAAATCTTTTAAGTGATGTTATTTGAAAAGATAAAAATACAGAAAGTTCTTTGTGATGGGTAGGGTTAATGTAGGGGGATATAAGTCAATGGAAATCCCCATAAAACATGAAAACCCAACGTGTGTGTGTGTCTTTAAAGATTCCCAGTATAAAAATGCTGATTAGGACAGAATGACTATATTCCCACATATTTGCACATAAATGCCGTTGCCATCTACACATGACACCGACACCGTTCCCAGATCAGATCTCAGTAGTACCCGCACCTGAATCCCGTCGCAGATCATTTACATGCCGTAGACTGTCAGTAGGGCGGAGATGAGCGGATATCTGTGAGAAATGGAGAGAGCCGGCACTCTGGGGACGGGAAACGGCTCTCTGGCCTCCTCAGGCTAAGCTTCCTGTCTATTATTTCAGCTAACGAACACTGTATGAACACTGCAATTAAATGTAATCACGAATCCTCAGAAGTCAGCAACAAAGCACTCATTTAAATTGATGACTTCTGTGAGCGTTTTCCATTTTTCTCAGATCAGACGTGTTATTTTCTTCAAATTACAACAACGCAATCGCCATCGAGCAAGCCATTCCCAGAAATCTCATCTCATTTGAGTACAAAACACTCTGAATGTTTCAATTCACTACAAAGAAGGAGCGAGCGACACTTCAAGCGTGTTTCATGATGATTAGTAAACAGATTTGTGAGACTGGAAAATGCGATTCGATTCAAGGGCACAACAAAAAGCTCAGATAGTGAGACCGTCTGCATTACGCGAGTCATTCCTTCTGTGAAGCTCATGATGTATATCATATGTGAAAATACTGAATCAATAAATAAAGTCAACTACGATTTATTAAATCAATTTATAGTTTTTTACAAACTATTTTGATTATAGGCATTGTGACATAAAAATCGCTTTAAATCCTAATCTTTCGCAAAAGTCAGTTCCTGAATGACATCATCCTACAGGAAGTGACATCACTGTTGTGGGAAATCAGCAGCATAAACATCTGCAAGTGTATGGTTTTATTTTAAAGGTACACAAATGTAACATTTTCGTAAAAAAAAAATGGCAGAGCGAGTAGATCATCACAACGATACACCTATAATAATTGTTTATATTCTATAACTACTTTAGAGACTCGTCATATAGATAAAGAGAGGAAAGAAGCTTCAGCTACAATGTTCTTCTGCAAGAAGCAGGCAGTTGTGTTTATTAACCACGCCAAAAGTTACATACACTAGTGTACATTTAAACGTTTTATGAATTTATTTGTTTACCACAGTTGGTCATGATGATTATATTGGGAAAAATAAAATGGAATAAAACCATTTTCAAAGGGCACCATTATTGTTAAATGTTTAATAAATTATTACATTTTTAGTTTTAGTAATTCAACTGATTATATACGCTTTGATGATAAAGTTGTATTAAATCATTATATCACGTAATATTGCATATAACACTCAATATAACTAGTTCCTGAATGACATAATCCTACAGGAAATGGAATTTCCTGAAATGTTCCTAATGGAAAATCAACAGCACAAAAAGCATCAATGGATTTGATCAAATGACACTACTTAGTTCAAATGATTACTAATAAAAAAGATGGTTAAAATATGAAAGCTGACTGTCAATCCTAAATTTAGCTCTCAATTACTTAAGATTAATTTCTAATTTTCATGTCATTGTGTAAATAATCAAGGTACAGAGTCCATTCTATAGTTCGCTCTATAGAAATACTCAAACTTCAACACCAGCATGTTGATTTTGAACAGTCGCAGAGATCTGCAGTCACTCAAGCACACATGTCCAACACAGATTAAAGTCCCCGTGAAATCAAAATTGAACCTATTTACTTTGTTTGCGCATATTACTAGTCTTGTGGTGAACAATTAATCCGTGCAAGTGAATATATATTAAAAAAATGTTTTACCTTAGTAATCTTTAATCAAAATCTGAAAAGTTACTTCCGGTCTGGAACGGTTTCTTTTTCTGATGACGTAGGTTTCACAGTTTGGGTGAGGAAACGCTTAACCACTCCCCTCAAACCGTTAGTTTGCTATGAGCGAGAGATGGAGAGGAGGAGCGCTAGAGTAAAACCCTGCCCTCTGTCCAATATTCCGTTTCACTTGGAAATACGTCACAGCACTGGAGAAAAATCGTTTGCAACTTCCGGTTCACGGGGACTTTAATATGATATACACTCTAAACAAAAATGGTGCTATATAGCACTAAAAGTGGTTCATTGGCTTGTAATCATAGGGGAACCACTTTAGCACTTATCTTTATCAAATGGTGCTATGTAAAACCATAAGAGGTGCAATAGAGCACTACTATATTTTCTGAAGGCGAAGCACTGCTACTTGGGCAGAGTGATAGCAATCACCTGAGACGCACCGTGACGAGGAGCAGAGAGTTCGCTTCGCTCAGCGTTGGAATAAAGAGTCAGCAATTACTAACGTTAGATAGAAAAGCATAGTTTATCATGGGTGTTTGCTTTATTGTATGAGCTGTGACAATAAACAGGGGAGACCAGGTAATACAGTACCATGTTTCATTGATTTCAAACCAAAAACGCACCCAGATTTATAAATATCACATGAATAAATAATTATTATTACAGGAATCAATATATTTTAAATGCATTTTATTAGCTGAACCAAATGTATTCAACAGTAGCCTATATAATATACAGTATTGCATTACTATAGGATAGAATAAGGGGAAAGTAATAGCACAAATTGTTTTTGCACAATGAACTCACAGCCTATCGTACCCTTTTGCACGCTCAAGTTCGTTATTTCCATGGTTATTTCAAATTTAGGCTAGGCGCGCCGCGCGCAGGGTGCAAGTTCAACGCGGTGAACGCGCTCGTTTTTTTCCCCAAGCGCGTCCGCACCGCATCAAGATAAAAACATATTCATACCCTAATCATAAAATAGTGTCACTAACGTTACATTAGATCTGGCTAAAGGCACTGTTACAGTAGGTCATCTAAAAACATAACGGAACACTTACCTCAGCCGCAGGTGATCCACTTGTCCTGTCTGTGCTATCGATGGGATGGCCGTATCCTTCAGCACATTATGGTCCGTGTGGCAAATTCCATTTTTTCAAAATAGTCGTCCTCATTGAAATGTACCGAGCAAACATAATGTCCCTTGATAATCTTAGGTGTGTTTGGATAAATATCCAGAGTAAGTTAGCCATTTCTTCATCCAGTCAGCGTTTTTAGTTGGAATTCTGTGAAACATGGTTACCTCCCCTGTTTACTGTCGCAGCTATTTACAATAGAGCGAAAACCCATGACTCTAAACTACGCTTTTACTATTTATAAATTGCTGACTCTGTTACCCAAACACTGAGCGAACTCTCCGCTCCTCACCACGGCGTGTCTCCGGTGATGCGGTTATTACGCCGTCAAAGTAGCAGTGCTTCGCCTTCAGAGAATATTTCCCAGGTTTTATACGGTTAAAAGATGTCTGTGTCTCATTTGACTTTGTTATTTGTACATTATGTGACTATACAAATCACAACATGTAAATAGGAAAACGTTTGCGTTATTTTGCCACTCATTTGGATTAGTATGAAAGCTGCAACCATTCACATCCAGTCTTTGTGCTAAGCTAGGCTAGCGGTGGGTGCGTCAAACAGACTTATAGCACGCACGGAGATGAAAAAGCTATGTATGGACTTATCTAACTCTGGGGGGTAAGGTGAATAGGCTAAAGTCCCAAAAAGTCGGAGTGTTCCTTTAACAGGTTCTTTAAATGGTAGTGGTGCTATATAGCACCATGACCACCACAAAGAACCCCTGAAGAACCGCTTTTAATCACTGAATATGTTGTTCAATCACGATCTGTTCTCAAACTCAAATGAGAGATTCACTGCAAGAAACACATGGAAATTCAGACTTCTTTTTATGTTAGAGGCCAATTTACAGGATTTACTAAAGACACACAGTGAAATTAGTGATGTAAAGGCTTTGACAGTTATTTTTGCAGCTGATCTTTCCCTTCTTCTTAATTTGCACATTGTCAGTAGATCACCTCCACTCCCATCTGCTCTTTTATGGGATTGCAGTCTCTGGCTAATTTGCCCTGTTAAGTACATCTGGCCCTTAAAATGCTGCCTATGTAGTTCGCTCACTAGGTTTGTGAACAGTGCGTGAATGAGCCGATGTTTTCCCCTCACATCCCGTAGTCATTCCACACACGTTCTGCCAGCTTAAACATCTCCAGTAATTGCTGAATTAGTTCAATTTTCAAAGCCTTTTTTTGAGCCGCTCACCGGGGAAGAGCGCAGGAGCTCTGCGATGATCAGCCCCGGATCACACAGATCAAAAACACACCAGCACTGTCTCATCGCAATTAAAATGCATGTGACGGTGGTGAAGGTGAGAGCAGTGAAAATCTCACACGTTCACAATCTGCTGCGCTTCACTGAGAGCTCTGCAGGAGAGTGGAAACGCCTGCTTTTAAGGTGACAGAATTATTTATTTTTTTTTAACTGTGAAAGCCACACTAAAATGCTTATAAATATTTTTTTAATTATTAGGGTTGGGTATTGACAAAAAATGTATGATCCGATGCAATTTCGATTCACAAGCTTGCGATTAGATTCAATTGGGATAACGAGGACAGTTCATGTCCATTTTTCCTCAAGAAAAACTATACAGGGAACCCTCCCGGCTGACATTTTAGTGTTGTATAGTTTTACATTATTATAAAATTAAGGGTTCAAATTAACAACTGATTTCATATTATGAACATTTAAATTGCACATAAGGTAGTTTAAAGCTACATTGTGTGATTTTTACCCCCATCTAGTGGTGAAAAGGTATATGACCATTCAGTGAATATTAGTTTCTGTTCCTCTCAATTCCGATTTCGTTTTATCTCCAACGGTGGCCAATGTAGTCCAAGATTAACATGGCTTCCAGTTCGACCTCGTCCATGAGTGTTAACTCAAAAAGCGAAGCTTGAATTAAAGGTGGAATACCTAAGATTTTTGCATTCAAATATCCCAAAATCACAAGGCCAGTGTTATATATTTAGTTATGATGATAACTCACAATATTCCAAATGTTTCAAACAATGTTTAAATCGCGAGAAAATTTAGATTTTAACCAAGGAAACGGGGCGTATGAGCAGGGGTGAGCTGGGAGTCGCCAGTCAATCGCGTCATATCCGCTTACCTCGGTTTCCGCTCGTACTACGTGTAGTCCTGGACAAATGCGGTAGTTGTAGTTGTGCGTTAGCGTCTATCAAGCAACAAACGTCAGCTTGTTTCGCACATTTGTTATGGAATGGAGCACAATTATTCTTTTCATTTATTCTCGGAATGTGAACTGTTGGCTGTAAAGGGGGTCACACACCGGACGAGAAGCGTCGCGCCACGTTTGTATCGAACACCGGACGCGCACTTTCTCATCAGTGTATGGCCAGCAATATTGTTATGTTTAATGACATGAAATGAAGATAATGTCTGTTCTATGTTATGATTGTACTGTACAATTAAATACAATCGTTGCTGAGTCTGCATTCTGAAAACTTTACCTCCGAGCATCCGTTCACTGAATGAATTGAGAATCTCACCTGAAAATTCTAATGATAACATCAGCAATTGTCATTCAAGCAGCTGATTTCTGTAAATGACTGCAAAACTAAATGCATATTGCAGCATAGGGCGAAGTCAGGATCCATTAGCAACGATTTGAGACAAAAATAATTAAAATTTTATATAAAACTATGTAAATGGCACTCTGTGGCGCAGCAGGATTTTGAATCCGAATGGCGCCGCCGGTATGTATACACTTATAGATAATAATGTGTTCGAATTTTAAAGATGTGGCGCGACGCGGCGCTGCAGCTTCTCGTCCGGTGTGCGACCCCCTTAACGTTAATTTTGTGAAACTGTAGCTGTGGTTGAATACTTGCACGACATGAAAAGATGTGTCAAATGTACATTAAATAGATTTTTTATTTTTATAAAGTTACCAAGGAGGACCAGCCACGTCAACTCCTTGCAAGAGACCTGCCCCTTCAAACCCTCTCCACCATAGCTTCGTCCAGTGACTCGTACAGTAACTAATTTACTTTTAAACCTGACTTTTCTTGCGGTTATTTCAGTTTAATGAAAAACAAGCATGTCATTAAACGCAACGTTTATAGAAATCGAACTTTACCTCATCCATGACAACTAATTTTCGATTCCCGTCTGACTGATTTATCCACGGTGGAGTTGAAAACAACAGTTCCCATCATTCCGCGTTTCTCCACGTCGTCATCAAGCAAAGCCATTGTTGTTGTTTTGAATGTAGCGCCCTCTAGCGGCATCTAAATCTTAGGTATTGCAGCTTTAACGGGTATGTCCCTCTTTGGCTAATGTACTTTCAAGATGGAGGGGCAACATGGCGACCGACATTAGAACCCCTTACCCGTATGTATTTCCAATGGCATATTATACACTCACGAGAATACTTTATTACTTAAACGAAGTAAATATACATTAATGAGCACATATATTTTTGAAAGAACTACGTGTTTTTACCTAATAATAAACCAAAAGAGTTACACAGTGTAGCTTTAAAGACATTTTAAAGACATATTAAGAATTATTATGTCTCTTCTCCAATTGGTTTTTGAAATTTTAAACATTTAAATAGTGGTTGTCAAAAAAAAAGTTTTCCTGATTGATTTATTCAAACATAGTAAATTAAATATTAAATGAATATGTAATATAGTGCATATATCTATCAAAATGAATTATTTTTCTAGCTATCTATCAAGTTTATGGTCACTAAAAGTCCAATTTGGTGGTCACTTTGAATTTCTTCATAAATTGACAGAATTTGAAAGCTGATAAAAAGTAGAAAGGTTATTGGATGGCTGGTTTTAGAGCAAATACGCTTTGTTCATGCATAAACTGAAAACAACACAGATTAAAAGATTTCCCAATTCTGGGAATTTAAGAATTGATACCGGTTCATCAAAATAAGAAATCAATATTTTCAACCCAGCCCTAAAAAATTATCCTGTTTTTATTAGCGGCTCGAATGAGCTCCATGCATTATGAAGAGAAAGGTCGTGTCGTGTTCACTCACCCTCTCTGATCGCTGTGAAAGGAGTTCCCTCTTCCTCCTGCAGACGAATCACTTTCAACGCAACCAGCTTCCCATTCACCCTGGACACACACCACATATTCATATTATATCTGTATTACAGGACTGGTCCATAAAAAACAATGTATCGTATAATTGTTCCTATGGTTCAAAGAGCATATCATAGGTTTGATTACCAGGAAATGTGTAAATTAATAAAACAAAATATATATTTTATATATATCCAAAATGTATATATTTTATATCCAAAGTTTATATATATATATAAATATATCCATTTATATTTTATCTCCAAAGTGACTTGCATTGCATTTTAAGGTATAAATTAATTAATTAATTTGTATGTATGTATTGTGTTAAATAATTCATTAATACAGTGAAACAGTATATTCAGGGTAAAAAAAAACAACAGAAATATACATAATAATTAATTATACATTATAATTAAATTCATAATATATAAAGAAAATATACATTATTTTATAGAAAAATGTTAACGGACATCACAGACCTTTGGAAAATAAAATGGAATTTAAGGGGGGAAAATTAAACTATTTTCATATGGATCTATTATTGTAAAAATTTTTAATTAATTATTAATTAATTCACTTGGAAAGTGAATTAAAAAAGTTGTAAAAAAGAAAACAAAATCATTTCCCATATAGGGCCCAATGTAATAAATCAATGGTGTAAATCAATGTCTCCTGGATATGACAGAATGTTGTTTAATAACAGAGATTGATGATGAATGAAAACTTTTTGAGTGGTTTGAAATAAAATGCAACACAAATTAAGACCAGAAACACAATTTACTGATTTACTGTTAAGTCAATGAAATGCAATTTAGAGTCAGTGGAGTGAATCTTAACAACACAGAGGTCAAGATGTGAAATAAATGAACTCCACCAATCAAAAGAACTTGCACATGAATAGCATCATTACTATGAAAAACACTGCCAATAATGCACAATTCATTTCACGCTGGCTGAAATTTTATTTTCCAGATTTTAATTTATAAAAGTAATCATCAAGGAAAAACAAGCGTTACACGCTCTCTGTCTGAAAGGATTTCATACAACATGTGCCATTTCATGCTCTGGAAGAGAAGCTCTCTCCGGCTCTCGGATTTTATTACAGCAAGATGAAAAATTATTTCATTCTTTATCTGCTGCCTTCTTTGCTACAGTTTTATTACTAAACAGTGTGTCTGTATGGAAATGAAGTGCATGAGAACTCACTTGCTCTTCCCTTTGTATACGGTTGCGTAGGATCCCTCTCCGAGCTTTTCCAGCTTCTCGTAGGAATCTGCCTTTCCGAACTTTGGGCTTGTGGGCTGTAATAGAGACAGACGCAGTTAAAGTCGGCACGAATCAGTTGCGATCATCCCTATTGTGACACGTATCCAAGTTAAAAGGCATCTCGAACAAGAAAAAATGTAGGGCGGGACTTGATTTTGTCCATTGGGAATTGATTGGATGGTTGTGGTTTGCTATTGGTGGATCGTCATGTGATTGACAGGTTGCCCCGCCCTCAGTAAATGTCACAGTTTTTCTTTTATTTTGATAAAAGATTAAGAGGGTACATGTAATTATCCTGCAATATTCGACTAAAAACTCTCTATTGTGATTTCATGGTGACTTTAATAGAGGATATTCTGTGATATTTTATCAGACCAGACCGCAGCAGATGTGAGCTCAGCCAGCGTATGGTCAGGTATTCTGGGTCAGATCCAGGATTTATTCAGCAGGGATTTCCGGAAAGACACGTCTGTCCCCGTATTAATGACCCAGTGCTGTTTCAACTGGACGTGATTAATAGTTTCCTGTTAAACAGGAAATGTGGTCTGCAGGATTTTACTGTGACTGAAAGAACACAGGTGAACTGTGCTTACATTTACTAGAATGAAGCTCAAAGTAAAAACTCCACAAATTATTAGTGTGTGAAATCTGCAAACACATCATGATTCATCAATAACTTTCTTACTAAAATGTATTCTAAATTTCCCCACAAAAACTTAAACTTCATGTATGCAAAAATCACATACTCTGGGTGGTCTGGTCTTATAAGATAAAATGTTATACTTGAACATCTTAAATGTATACAACAGTCAAAAGTTTGGGATAAGTAATGTTAATGTTTTTAAAATAAGTCTCTTATGCTCAACAAGGCTGCATTTATTTGATCAAAAATGCAATATAAACTGAAATTAATTAAGTCTTTAGTGTCACATAATCCTTCAGAAATCATTCTAATATGCTGATTTGCTGCATTTCTCATTATTATCAATGCTGAAAACAGTTGTACTGCTTCATGTTTTTGTGCAAAAGTGTATAAAAATACACAAATTAGATACGCACAGTTTTACATGCATAGTTTATATACTGTACAGACAAACCTTGTGTGGTCAAAGACTATTGTGTCTAAAACATGTGACTTGGACACATTTGTAAGATTCATTTTATGATGCATCTAAAGAACGCTGACATTTCAACCCCCCCACCAAAAAAAAGGCCATAATTAAAAGTTTTTAGAATAAATATGCTACTATGAATGCAGATCTTCCAAGCAAAAACAGTAATATTTTACTTGCGTTAAAGAGAAAAAATGTCTTTTCCAAACCAATCCAGTAATATTTTACTTTCATTAAAGCAAATATAACTCAAAAAAAACATCTCTTTTCCAAACCAATACAGTACTATTGTACTTGCATTAACGAGAAAGTCCTGAAGAGCAAATGCACACGGCACTAATTCTCCTGAAATGCAGCGTTTCTTCAGTAATCAGGTTTGCAGCTTGACACCGATCTGCAGCAGCGAGTCACTTATTGCGATTGGTGTGAAAGATTACCGGACTGTTCCCGGATAACCGCTTGCTCAGATGCGGCTGTAACCGCAAACCCTGCAGCCTTTTATCAACACCAGACACCAGCTGTCTCTTAGAGACCAGCGGCCACCATACGGCCACGCTTTCAGTGAACACATCCGCTCTCCAATCCATCAGCTTCGCTTTACAGCGCTGGTATTACCTAGCGGGTCTTTATGATTGTGATTAAGGTGTTGGGAGTGCAGGGACCCCGTGGAGAACAGGTTTTAGTGGATTTTCTAAATAAGAAGGGCTGTGGCAGAATAATGAGAAGGGTGTTATGGGAAAGAGGTCACACACACTCTCTTCACTCCTGTCAGGCTTACGCTCATCCATTTTTCATTGGTGTGAATCAGCAAGCAAATGTGCTCGCTAGCTGCATTCTTCAAACCCTCCAACCTTTAGTTTTTCCTCTCAGGTCAATCCGGTCTCGCTTAGTGAATTATATACTATAAAAATCAACTCATCTTTTCTAAATTAAATTGCAATAAATATAATAATTATACAAAATGCTGTATCTCAGGGTGAGTTAATGAAAATAGTGCAAAATAAAATCATAATGCGATATTAAAATATTTTTTAAATAAAAAAAATGAATTAATAAAATAAGTAATTGTAAAATAAACAAATCGAAATAAAACCCTTACTAAATATAAATAAAATCATAATGTAAAAAAAAAAATTATAATAATAATAATAAAAATAAATAAAACACCAAAAAGAAATGAAATCATTAGAAATTAACATTAAAATAAATAATTTAAAAATCTAAGTAAAACCCTCACTAAAAAAGCAAAAATGTACCATGAAATTTAAATAATTTTAAAAGAAAAAAAATCTAAATAAAACACTTAAATCAATTCAAATCAATTAAAAATTTAAATATAAATAAATAAATAATGAAATATTGTATTGTACCACTGACTGCCTATTTTTTTAAATATTAACTTTAACTATCTGGAAGACTTCAAGCAGACATTTTTAGCTCAAATGGGCTTGGCTGGAAATAAAAATTGGTAATCCCTGTTGAATGTGATAAAAAATATCTACAATCAAAACACATTTCAAACCTCACATAAAGGTTTAGAAATGAGACTTATCAAGGACAATCATGATCTGTTAGCAATGTCAAATTAGGCATGAATTTGCTCATCCATCCTAAACTTTAATAAGCACAAATTAGACACTCACAGAACTAGGACTGGAGTGACGGCGTAGTTTTGGAGACTCTTTCCCAGAGGAGGAGCTTTTGGAGGTGATGCAGGCATTGTTCTCCGAATGGACCCGCTTCACCTGACTCGCCGGCTTCTCGAAGGCATCGAAGCCGCTCTGCGTCCGCTGCACTCGAACCTTCTTGTCTTCAGGAATGGTGTCCAGGGGTTTGATGACTGAGTCGGATCCCTGGCAGCTGCGAGTGGACATCTTGGTGACACATATCTGAGAAAAAGCGGAGAAGAACGTCTTAGACATCAGCGCTGCCTAAAACGCATCATTTTTCAGGAGAAATATGCTAAAAACAGGATACATTTACTTGAAAAGCAAAACTGTGCAAGAAAAGATAGCTATTGTCGCATAAAAGAGAGAATCGATTCGGAACTGCCTGAAACGGGTCGTCAGCAATTCCATCCCACTTCCTGTTACACACCTACGAAACTTTAGCCTCGTTTACACTGCATGGTTCAAGTGACCCAAATCTGATTTTTTCCTCTCATGTGGCACAGATCGGGTATGACCGGTGAACGTGTAAGCAGGAAAAAAACGCATGGATTCCGATTTTCTCAGATCGGATTCAGGCCTCATTCATATGTGGTAATAAATCGGACATGAATCTGATACGTGCATTTGCGTGTGCCATGTAAGCAGACAAATCGGATATTCCCCGGTAATGCGAGTCGTATGTCATTAAAAAGTGCGCGATGATAGGCGCGATGGACGAAAGGATACACACAGTGGAGCAATGCGGAGGTTTCATGTCTTTTGAGTGTTTGGGGTGAAGAGTGCTGGCGAAAATGCAGGGTGGTTACAGAAATAAATCCGTTTTTGAAGACATTTCACGAGATATGAGGCATCGTTTTAAGTGCTCGCCGCTAGAGCCTCTCCTTTTTTTTTTTCCGCCGTACGAGACCAATGTTTTAATGACTTATTGAAATATTGTGGAAAGAAAACACTGGAGAATTTTATTCACGTCTGCAGCCATTGAAGTTCGTGCTGTTTTGCTTAATTTCCCGGGTCAGAACGTCTGCATTAGGTAGTTTCAGCAGTGTATAGTGTAAATGCAAAAATCGGATATGGGTCACTTTTAAAAGATGATGTAAGCAGGTCGTCAAAAAAATTGGATATAGTCAGAAAATCGGATTTGGGCATCAAGACCTGCAGTGTAAATGCAGCCTATGTAACAAATGTGCATGATGCCAGTCTATGGTCTTTATTGGCTGCCTGTGAACGTATTCATTGACCCCTTCTAAAACACTGTAGTTGTAGCAGAGACTTGGAAGAGTTTGGTTCGTGTTGTCAACAAGAAGTAGCTGTTTTCAGCCCTGCAATTCCACTTTGCATGCACTTCTACAGGATGAAGACGTGCGCTGGATTTGTGCCGGAGCTGAAATTCAGATATGATAAAAGCGTTTTGTTTACGGTAGACCAATCACAACAGATTGAGTCATCTGACCAATCAGAGCGGAGTAAACCAATCACAACAAACTGAGCCATCTGACCAATCAGAGCAGAGTACACCAATCACAACAGACTGAGCCATCTGACCAATCAGAGGAGGGTAAACCAATCACAACAGACTGAGCCATACAGTAAACCTAACCAAATTTAGTTCTATGCTAAAGAAAAATGACAACAACCAATCAAAAAACTTTCGACAATGTGGCAAGAAAAATTATCTTGCACAATTTTGTAGTAAAAGTAAAGTAAATCTCACTTTAAGCATCTTTGCATTTTTGAAGGAGGACACCACAGGTGAATAGGGGGAAAACATTCATCGATATCACAATACTTCTCCAGTCCATTGATTACAGTAAGAATTGCAAGCATTTTTTGCATTACAAGTTTTCTGAAATGTTATGTTTATTTATGCAAATGATGCATTAAAAATATGCAAATATATTGCATTTATTTCCAGAACAGAAATTAATAAACATTGTTTGATTTTGTTCAACATCTTGAGAGTTAAAGGTTTTTACAGAGGAAATTTTGATCTCTCTTTTCATCACAAAGCTTTGAACAATCAGAAAATACTGTCAACAGCCAGAAAACAAATACATTTTCATCATGTTTTTAGGAATACAATTTTTATGTAAATCAGGTGAATGATGTATGAACAAACCTACAGAATTTGGATATGAATAACTGCACACTTTAGAGTCTGTAAAGCTCCTTTAGTGGAGATTTCTGACTCAGTGCAGGAGAAATAACTCACAGCCTTTAAAGACAGGCTACGTATCGTCTTTGAAATCTACAGATGCAAAGTGCAATTAAATAAACATTATAATATATATTTCAGATGTTTTCTTTCCACTAGTCTGAAGCAAAACAGACCAAACCTTAAAATTGACCAGTGCATGGAAAAAAACACATTTTTTTACCTGTAGTGCTTTGCCTTAAATGAAAAAACATGATAAAAATACTTCAAATAAGAACAAGAAAATATCATGCCGGTAAAGGGTTTCGGCAAAAGTGAATGTCCATGTTCATACAAATCTACAAGGCAGTCTCCTGTGGCTTTTCTTCAAAGTTGTTTAGTGCGGTGCGCATTCCCTGCAAGGGTCAGACTTTCATCTCTACCTCTGTGAGTTCAGACATCGATCCAGCGCTCTCAGCTACTGTATTACAGTCTCCATCACACACACACACACACACACACGAGCATTAATCTAAACAGTGCGTACCTACCGGCCACTCCATCGCCGCTCGGACTGTCAGCTGCACAAAAGGCCCAGATGAGCATGTCATGTAAGCGCGGCCCCTCAGATTAAAAATTTACCGGCCTTTCAGAGGCAAAACATCCCAGGGAACCGCCTCTAATGACCTAAATATTCAGTGTCCAGGCTGAGTCACTGGTTCGCTTACATGGGCCGGGTTTCACCAAACCGCCTTCAGCCTCTCTGGTTGGTTCGAGAGGCAGAACATGTAAAACGTCAATTAATCGATGTTCCTTTATTACACAACACAACACCAACATTAGCCACAGCGAAGTAAATCTGAGTTGTGTTGTTAGGGACAGATTTCTGTTATCTAGGCATATCATATGCCTTATGAAGGTCGTGAGAATGAAACGTTGCTAATAAAATGTTGATACTCATTTGGAAGTATTGATAGCACACACCTGTCGCCAGCAGGTGTGCGATGGTGATGGCTGATTGATAGTGTTATAGGCACAAATAAACCAAACCAAACCTTAAAACCTTAAAATGAATCAAGATGTTTTAGACAGACAGACAGACAGATAGATAGATAGATAGATAGATAGATAGATAGATAGATAGATAGATAGATAGATAGATAGATAGATAGATAGATAGATAGATAGATAGATAGATAGATAGATAGATAGATAGATAACAGACTAACAGACGGACTTACCGACCGACCAAGATCGGTCGGTCAGACAGACAGACAGACAGACAGATAGATAGATAGATAACAGACTTACAGACAGATAACAGACTTACAGACAGACAGACAGACAGACAGACAGACAGACAGATAGATAGATAGATAGATAGATAGATTACAGACAGACAGACAGACAGACAGACAGACAGATAGATAGATAGATAGATAGATAGATAACAGACTTACAGACAGACAGACAGACAGATAGATAGATAGATAGATAGATAGATAGATAACAGACTTACAGACAGACAGACAGACAGACAGATAGATAGATAGATAGATAGATAGATAGATAGATAGATAGATAGATAGATAGATAGATAGATAGATAGATAGATAGATAACAGACTTACAGACAGACAGACAGACAGACAGATAGATAGATAGATAGATAGATAGATAGATAGATAGATAGATAGATAGATAGATAGATAGATAGATAGATAGATAACAGACTTACAGACAGATAGATAGATAGATAGATAGATAGATAGATAGATAGATAGATAGATAGATAGATAGATAGATAGATAGATAGATAGATAGATAACAGACTTACAGACAGACTGACAGATAGATAGATAGATAGATAGATAGATAGATAGATAGATAGATAACAGACTTACAGACAGACAGACAGACAGACAGACAGACAGATAGATAGATAGATAGATAGATAGATAGATAGATAGATAGATAGATAGATAGATAGATAGATAGATAGATAGATAGATAGATAGATAGCAGACTAACAGACAGACTTACCGACCGACCAAGATCGGTCGGTCAGACAGACAGACAGACAGATAGATAGATAACAGACTTACAGACAGACAGACAGACAGACAGACAGACAGACAGATAGATAGATAGATAGATAGATAGATAGATAGATAGATAGATAGATAGATAGATAGATAACAGACTTACAGACAGACAGACAGACAGACAGATAGATAGATAGATAGATAGATAGATAGATAGATAGATTACAGACAGACAGACAGACAGATAGATAGATAGATAGATAGATAGATAGATAACAGACTTACAGACAGACAGACAGACAGATAGATAGATAGATAGATAGATAGATAGATAGATAGATAGATAGATAGATAGATAGATAGATAGATAGATAGATAACAGACTTACAGACAGACAGACAGACAGACAGACAGACAGACAGACAGACAGATAGATAGATAGATAGATAGATAGATAGATAGATAGATAGATAGATAACAGACTTACAGACAGACAGACAGACAGACAGATAGATAGATATAGATAGATAGATAGATAGATAACAGACTTACAGACAGACTTACAGACAGACAGACAGATAGATAGATAGATAGATAGATAGATAGATAGATAGATAGATAGATAACAGACTTACAGACAGACTGACAGATAGATAGATAGATAGATAGATAGATAACAGACTTACAGACAGACAGACAGACAGATAGATAGATAGATAGATAGATAGATAGATAGATAGATAGATAGATAGATAGATAACAGACTTACAGACAGACTGACAGACAGATAGATAGATAGATAGATAGATAGATAGATAGATAGATAGATAGATAGATAGATAGATAGATAGATAGATAGATAGATAACAGACTTACAGACTTACAGACAGACTTACAGACAGACAGACAGACAGACAGATAGATAGATAGATAGATAGATAGATAGATAGATAGATAGATAGATAGATAGATAACAGACTTACAGACAGACTGACAGACAGATAGATAGATAGATAGATAGATAGATAGATAGATAGATAACAG